TAAGTGTCAAATCCAAGAGTTAATCCAATTTTAGCCACATTTACTATTGATCATTCCCTCCTCAAAGTCCTATTATCTTCTTTGACAGTACACTGTGATGGTTCTCCTATGTCTCCAATCATACCTTGTCAGTACAGTTTGTTGGATGTTCTTCTCATCTCTTAAAAGTCATCATGACCCACAAGATACTGGGTGTGAAATGAGTAAGAAGTAATACTTACAGCTCTTATTGTAGGGCAAAATTTAATGGCATTTTATGGAAAGTGTCACACTATTTAACAAAAGTTGACTTCTTTTCAGCTCCATCTCTAAATAGAAATTAATTTTTCTCACCAAAAAGAGATTTAAATCTCCCTTCCCCCAACACACACACACCTTGGCAATAAAGCAAATGGAGCAACAAACCCACCCTAGCAGGAAAACCCTGAAGGAACAGTGGTTCTTAACATTCTTGGGGGCACAGGTCTCTTTGATAATCACATGAAAGATAAAGATCCTTTCACCCTCTAAAATGTGTGTGCACGAGCTCACGCAAGCACAGATTGCAAATAAATTTGAGAGCGTTCCCAGATTCAGATTAAGAATCCCGGTGATAGAAAGAATGCAAACAGAGTGCTCAGGTGAGGGAGGGAGGAGGGGAAGGCTGTAGTAATGTATAGCTACAACCAAAGTTGTGGATAACGTTAAAGGGGAGCAAGACTTTCTGCTGAAAATTAATTGATCAGTTCCATACTTTGAGCAAGCTCATAAGCAAACACTAAGTCTTAGCAAAAAAAGGCTCCTAAAGCAAGGCATTACTGTCCCAGGATCAAAAAATCTACACGGGACAAACAGAAGATTCCAGAACAGATCAAATCTATTTCCTAACCACACTATCTTCAGGTATCAGTGGAAGAAGTAAGAACAAAGAGAACGCACTATGTATCCTTAATAATGGTAAAAATAATAATGATCCTTAGTAATTCAAATGAGATGGTGTAATTAGTTCTCATTACATTGTAGCTTTTGTCTTTTTGCCCAAATCCTAAATTTTAGTTTAAGAAGTCCTCTAAATATTGAATAATTGGATTGGATAGAGATCAGATTTTATTGTTCAAGACTGGGCAGAACATGTTGTATCACTGTCTTGAAAAACCTAATTTTTGTCCAAATAAAAAGAAAATGACATCATTTAAGAGAGCAAAATGATAACTTTTAACCTATTATCTGTCCTTCAAAATGCTTACATTAACTAGACGGGCCTGGATAAATGTACAAGGAGAGTTGGTCCATGCATTTCACCTCCATTAATTACCAACTCTACTTTACTGTTGTTGCATAAAGTAGAGGTTTACCATTTGCTGTAGATTGAATGTCCCCCCAAACTCATTAATCCCCACTGTAACTGTTGAGGGTGGGAAATCCTATCACAGTAATTGAAAGGGGGGAGTCTTGAAGAGGTGATTAGATTGTAAGGACCGTGCCATAGTGAATGGATTAACCCATTTAATGGTTTAATGGTGGTTGTGAGTGTGGTCAGAGGATTTTAAAAGGAGGAGGAAGGAGTTAGCTTTCTCTCTGCTC